CACACACACACACATATATATATATATATATATATATATATATATATATATATATATATATATATATATATATATATGTGTGGTGTGTGTGTGTGTGTGTGTGTGTGTGTGTGTGTGTGTTGTGTGTGTGTGTGTATATATGTATGTATATGTATATATGTATATATATGTATATATATGTATATTATATATATATATATATATATATATATATATATATATATATATATATGTATATATATGTATATATATATATATATATATATATATATATATATATATATATATATATATATATATATATATATATATATATATATATATATATATATATATATATATATATATATATATATATATATATATATATATATATATGTGTGTGTGTGTGTGTGTGTGTGTGTGTGTGTGTGTGTGTGTGTGTGTGTGTGTGTGTGTGTGTGTGTGTGTATCATCATCAGGAACAACACTAACGATATAAATTAATTAGTAGAGTAATGAAAATGCCAAGATGTCAGTACCCCCCCCCCTACCTCACCGCACCCCCCACCAATTGCTTTCGCCATCATCTGCGTCGCTTCCAAAGGCACCCCTCTTGTGCTGAGCAATACCCCCCCTTCCTCCCCATGTTCTTTCCTTATCCCCGTTCCCTCCTTCCTCCTCCTACGTTCGTCTCATCATCGTCGTCGTCGTCGTCGTCTCCTCCCTCCTCCTCCTTCCTCCTCCTCCTCCTCCTCCTCCTCCTCCTCCTCCTCCTCCAGTTCCATTCCTCCTCCTTCTCTTCCACCTCTATCTTTTCTTCCTCCTACCCCTCCACCGCACCCTCCTCTTCCTCCTCCTCCACCTTCGCCATCTTTTCCTCTTCTTCCACCTCCTCCTCCACCTCCTCTATATTCTCCTCTTCCTTCTTCTTCCCTCCTCCTCCTCCACCACCACCACCACCTCCTCCTCCTCCTCCTCCTCCTCCTCCTCCTCCTCCTCCTCCTCCTCCTCCTCTCCTCTCCTCCTCCTCCTTCTCCTCCTCCTCCTTCTCCTCCTCTCCTCCTCCTCCTCCTCTCCTCCTCCTCCTCCTCCTTCCTCCTCCTCCTCCTCCTCTCCTCCTCCTCCTCCTCCTCCTCCTCCTCTCCTTAAATGGGACATTGACTGAGTCGGAGCCTGCACCCTAAAGAGAGGGAAGGGAACTTGTCTGCTATGCGTGGATGGAGACAGAAGGGGTTCGAGAGCGTCGGAAAGGGAGGGCGAGGGGGAAGGGAGGGAAGGAGGGGGAGGGGGAAGTGAGGGGAAAGGGAGATGGAAGGGCAAGTGATGTAGGAGGGGAGGGGGAAGTGAGGGAAAGGGGGATGGAGGGCAAGTGAGAAGTGGGAAGGGAGGGCAGGAAGGGGAAGGGGGGAGTGAGAGGAAAGGGGGATGGAAGGGCAAGTGAGAAGTGGGAAGGGAGGGGGAAGGGGGGACGTGAGGGGAAAGGGGGGTGGAAGGCAAGTGAGAAGTGGGAAGGGAGGGCAGGAAGGGGAGGGGAAGTGAGGGGAAAGGGGGATGGAAGGAAGGGAAGGAGAAGGGAAGGGAGGGGGAAGGGGAAGGAGGAGGGGAAAGGGGGGTGGAAGGGCAAGTGAGAAGTGGGAGGGAGGGCAGGAAGGGAGGGGGAAGTGAGGGGAAAGGGGGATGCAAGAGCGAGGGAGAAGTGGGAAGGGAGGACAAGGAGAAGGGGAAGGGTAGGAAAGGAGGGAAATGGGGAGGGAAGGGAAGGAGAAGGGAGGGAAGGAGGGTGAGGGAGAAGAGGGAAATGGGGAGGGGAGGGGAAGGGGGAAGAGAGAAGGGGGGGCAAGAGGGAAGGAAGGGTGGGGAGGAGGAGGATAATGATGAATGAAGGGTTGAGAAAGATTGTAGAGATCGAGAAAGAAGAGAAATGAGCGGAGGGGAATCGAATGAAAAGATGGAAAGATGGAAAGAAAAATGGTGACAGGGAAGGTGAAAATGCTGTGAATATGGAGAGGAGAAAGAGGAGGAAGATGAATAGGAGAGGGAGAGGAGGAGAAACATGAGGAAGGGGAGGGTGATAAGAAAGAAAAGAAGGAGGAGGAAGAGGAAGAAGAAAAATGAGGAGGAGGAAGAGGAAAAAGAAAAATGAGGAGGAGGAAGAGGAAGAAGAAAAAGAAGGAGGGAAGGCGGAAGACCAGAAACTATTCCTTCTCCTCATCGTCATCGTTGACAAGAAAGCAAGAAAAAGACAGAATATTAACGAGAGGAAAAGCCAAAAAGGTGAAACGCGAGAAGAGAAGACGAGATAAAGAGACGCGGAAAGAGGTCGTGAATAGGGGAGGGGAGGAGGGGAGGATAGGAAGGGGAGGGGAGAGAAAAGGGGAAGGAGAGGGAGGGGGGGAAGGAATGGAGAGGGAGGGAAGGAAGGGATGGAAAGGAGAGGGAGGGGAAGGGAACAGAAGGGTTGGGAGAGGAGGGGCAAGGAGGGGAGGGGAGGGGGATGTTCAGGAGACGTCGCCATGGCCCGCGACCGCAAGTTTCTTCAATACACCTCGTTAGCGGCGTCGGAGGCACTAATCTATTCCCAGACGAGCGTGGAGGGAAGTGGCACTCTTTGCTTTCGCTGCGCTGGCCGCTTTGGCATAATTTGCCGGGGTAATTCGCCAGCGGGATGCCGTCGCGAAAGGCCGGTTCTTTTCTCTTTTTTCTTTTACCCTGGATAGAGCCTTGATGTATATGTGTATGTATGTATGTATATGTTATATATGTATATATATGAATGTATATATATGTATGTATATATATATATTATATACACACACACCACACACACACACACACACACACACACACACACACACACACACACACACACACACACACACACACACACACACCACATACATACACATACATACACATATATATATATATTACACATATATATATAATATATATAATATATATAAATATATATATATGAATATATAATATATATATAAATATATAAATATATAATATATAAACATAAATATATAAATATAAATATATAAATATATAAATAAATATATAAATAAATATATATATATTATATATATAAATAAATAGATATATATATATATAATATATATATATATATATATATATATATATTTATATTTATTTATATATTATATTTATATTATACATTACATACATATATATGTATGTTTCATTCATTCATTTTATTCATTCATTATTTTTTCTTTCTTTATCTATTTTTATCCTTTTCTTCATCCTTTACATTTTTTATGTATAGCTTTATTTGTTAATTCATTCGCTTATTTTATTTGTTTATCTATTCTTTCTATTTCTTAAATTATTATCATTATTGGATGGAGGAGGTCTTTTCCTTTCTCTCTCTCTCTCCCCTTCTCTCACTCTATCTCTCGTTCTCTCACTAATCTGTGTCTGTCTCTCTCTCTCTCTCTCTTCTCTCTCTCTCTCTCTCTCTCTCTCTCTCTCTCTCTCTCTCTCTCTCTCTCTCTCTCTCTCTCTCTCTCTCTTTCTATCATCATCATCCCCATCACCACAATCGACATCACCATCATCACTTTGCAGAAAATACCCTCTAATTATCCGGTCACTAATTATCTTTTTTACCCCATTTATGCTTTACGCTCGCCGCCCCCCCCCAAAAAAAAAAAAAAAAAAAAAAAAATCGCAAAGACGAGAGACAATAAGGGAGGCGAGAGATCCTATTGAAGAAGGCCGAGAGCGATTAGGAAGGCGGGGGCGAAGGCGAAGGCGAAGGCGCAGACGAAGGCACTGGGGGAAATTAATTACCAGCGGCGGGCGTCAGTCTTAAGTCCTTTATATCTATCGCTAATGAACTCTTAAGTTATCGCGGGCTGACAAAGGTCTAGTTCTTAGCTCGCTCATTCATGCTCTTTCCCTGATTCCCCTTTACAAACTTATATATTATATTATTATTAATATTATTTTGACTTAACTGCAGTGTGTATGTAGAAGTATGATTATTACACTTTTTTTTTTTTTTTTACTTTCCCACCTGTTCAGTTTGGTGCATTTGATAATGACTGAATAACCCGTGATTTAAAGACTTATTTAGACATATTTTTAACACTGTTGAAGCTCTGATTCTAATCTACGATTCTTCTATTATTCTTTATATGTCTGATCTCTAACATTAAACTTTTGTTGTGCCGATAGAAACCAAAGGGAGCAATAAATTCCCTTTCCAGCGACAAAACCTATAAGAAATATAATAGCGATGCAGTTCACCTTGCGTGTTAGTTTTTTTTTTTTAACACATACTAAAAACTGCATGGGTGTTATTCATCGCTATCATCAATAATTTAGTCTTATTACTATTAGCGATGCAACTCATCTACCGGGACTATTCCTTATATTCGTCATGCACACTCGAAACTTTGCATGAGTGTTAGGGATGGTTGAACTACAGTAATTGAGTCTCATTACCATTCATGTCCAAGAGACCCTGCATGTTTGACTCGAAGACAGGGTGATTACTCCTTGAAGTCGGGTATTAGTTCTTGGACCGCCATGGCAACGGCAGCCAACTCGCGTCCTCTCCCGGATCGGAATATTCTGGGACGACGGATGAAAGCCAGAGTAGGAATCATGTGGAGCAAAATGCAGATAAAACAAGGAAGGGAAGAGCAAGTGCAAAACACACTCATGTGCATAATCGTGTGTATTTTCTTGTTCTTTCCTTCGTTGTTTGGTTTGCACGACTAGCAAGGTGTACTCGGTCAGTGTGGTCAGGATTGGGTCCATATTGTTGACGTCTGTTAAAGGAAGACAGATAGCCTGAGGTGTTTTCTGTTGTATAACTCCCCGAGAATGATATCGACGTGATAACCACAGACAAATTTAAGACTGGAGCTTCGCCACACGAGGGCTTCAGAGGGGACCAGACTGATTTTGGTGAAACCAGCTTTGTAGCTTGTACGTGGCATACTGATATTTGGAATTGATTTAGTGAAAAGAATACAGTCAGTATGGACTACACTTCATCGGTATGGATTTCGTTTGGCGCTGATGTATGTGTTATTTTGTATGCATGAGTTTCGCAATTCTTACTCTAGTTTCTACTTGGGTTCGTTTTAACTTTTTTCCGTCACATTGTAGATTATGCGCCACATTTTTAGTTTTTTTATTGCAAGCATCTGGACAGAAGTGCGTATCTATTGGCAGTCTCTCAGTGTGTAAACTGAATCCAGAACAAAGATTATTAACAGAAGATTAAGTTGCCAATAGATATTTGGGATAAGGAGGATTTTTTATATTCCGGAGTTTGCTTTGGAAGTGAGCAACCCCCCCCCCAAAAAAAAAAAAGGAAATAACTTTTAAAAATAGGCACAATATTACCAAAAGATGTCAGAAACTTTAGAAAGTGAACGAATGTGTTAGAGAAGGCTGTTCCATACATGTCCAAAAGCATAGACAAAGTATCTTAGTTATTCCTCTTTCAGGTATTGTCAGCCACAGGAAGACAGAATGGGGGTGAGGAAATGGCCTACGAGCTTATTTAACAGAGTCATCAATCTCTTACTGGTAAGTGACTGGATGACTAACTGTTTGTCTTGTCAGTTTCTGTGTATATGGGTCATATTCTCTGCCTCTGCCTCTGTCTTTGTTTCGTTTTCGTTCTCTCTCTCTCTCTCTTCTCTCTCTCTCTCTCTCTCTCTCTCTCCTCTCTCTCTTCTCTCTCTCTCTCTCTCTTCTCTCTCTCTTAGCCCCCCCCTCTCTCTCTCTCTCTCTCTCTCTCTCTCTCTCTCTCTCTCTCTCTCTCTCTCTCTCTCTCTCTCTCTCTCCTCTCTCTCTCTCTCTCTCTCTCTCTCTCCTCTCTCTCCTCTCTCTCCTCTCTCTTCTCCCTCTCCCTGCCCCTCCTGCCTCTGCCTCTGTCTTTGTCTCGTTCTCTCTCTCTCTCTCTCTCTCTCTCCTCTCTCTCTCTCTCTCTCTCTCTCTCTCTCTCTCTCTCTCTCTCTCTCTCTCTCTCTCATCCTCTCTCTCTCTCTCATCTCTCTCTCTCCCTCCTCTCTCCCCTCCTCTCCCTCTCTCTCTCTCTCTCTCTTCTTATAATAAAGAGCCATCCCTATAACGCCTCACTTGGCCTTTACCTAAACCCAGTAAAACAGCATGAGACCTTTTACGACCTTCTTTGCGACAACACTCCACCGGTGTCAGTGGATTTTTATCAGTGAAGGAGTCAAGGTGAATGGTCTTCTGGTGTACATAGATTTCTCTAATATCTTCCAGAGAGTATTCTACTAGAATATTATATATATGGGTATTTTATTGATTGTTTATATTTTTTATATCTATTTATCTATCTATCTATATACACACACACACACACACACACACACACACACACACACACAACACACACACACACACACACACACACACACACACACACACACACAACACACACACACACACACACACAACTCACTCACTCACTCACTCACTCACTCCACTCACTCCACACACAAGGCACAGAGAACCCGCAGCTGACTCGCCTTCCTCTAACGCGCCCTCGACCAGAGTGTCGCCGGAACCCGTGCTTCGATGAGTCCGAGTCGCCACTTCGAGCCCCGTCGACAACGATCCCGACAGCCTGTTGGATCTGAAGCAGGGTTTCCTCATCACCATCGTCAGAGGCGATGTGCAGACCTTCCTGAATCTCGCTCGGGAGAAGGGGGTATGTGTGTCTTTTTTTTCCCCCTTTTTATTTAATTTTTTTTATTTATTTGTGGTGTGTGTGTGTGTGTGTGTGTGTGTGTGTATGTGTATGTGTGTGTGTGTGTGTGTGTGTGTGTGTGTGTGTGTGTGTGTGTGTGTGTGTGTGTGTGTGTTGTGTGTGTGTGTGTGTGTGTGTGTGTGTGTGTGTGTGTGTGTGTGTGTATGTGTGTGTGGTTGTGTGTGTGTGTGTGTGTATGAATGTATGAATTACGTTTCTTTGTAGATTGTGAAGTGAAATGTAAGTTTGAGATTGAGGCAACGCTTTATCCAAATTGTCATTCATCATATGCGACAAAAACGACCGGAAAGTCGTTGCAGAACTTGTAGAAAGACCTTCCCCGGTGAGTGCGGAGTCCTTTCCGGAGGCACCGGGACAGAGCACAGCGTCAAGGAGTGATTTCGACATCCCTGTTCATCTTCACGTGGAAAAGACTGCTGCCTCCACATCAGGTCAAGCTGCTGGTTTTTCGGCTGGGTCACATTCTGGACAAACTCAGTCTAGACAAGGTGACCCCCAACCAGAGTATGCTGATATTCCTTCAGGAGGAGCTTATATCCCTTCAGGATATGCTGGTAACCCATTTAAAGAAGGTGATGATAGCTCTCCACAGAGAGATGCTGGCATTCGGTCAAAGGATCCCGATATCCCATTAGAAGATGCTGACAACACGTCATCAAGTTCACATGCTGATACCACGTCAGAACTTAGTGCTGACACCTCGGGAAAATTAAGCATTAAGGAAGCAGTTGATGACATCCAAACAAAGGAGCTGCAGGTGTTACTAACGTCCATGCAAAGTAATTCTTAGATTCGACGTTCTCTTTATTTTCATGTGAAAAGGATAAACCTGTTGTGTTCTGAGTAACTGTACACTTATATTCAGAAATCCATTAGAGGATTTTTTCAGTTAGATAAAGATGATAAATCAAATGGAATATTAAAAACAAGGAAGACGAGAAGTCAAAAGAAGCAGAAAAAAGAACAGAAAGAAAAAAAAGGAAGGCAAGAGGCGAAATTAAGCGGAGATGGCTTAAAAAATAGAGAGGAGGAAGAAGAGCAGACGAAGGAAAAGGAAGAGAAGGTGCCAGGTCTTATAAGCCAATAAAAGTCTCACGCTGCATGATATACACAAGGGTAAGTAGAGGGCAAACAAAGCTCCTCTTTTGACGTGCACTTCATGGCTTGGCCTCTGGCTAATATCACCAGTCAGACCTTTTCTTAAGACTTTAAGGCTTTTTTTCTCTTTTTTTTTTTTTCTGCTTTGACTTACGCCGGAAATAGAATATGTGACTGTCTAAGAGGAGTTTCTTGGGAGGCATTTCATAATGGTGGTATTTTTTCTCCTTATTGTACGAAATGATATACTGATATTGCATTTGCTGTTGGAAATATTGTTTATGATATTGCCTTGGTTTTATTGCAGAATGAAATTTGTCTTTCGGTAATACTTTATTTGTAAACTATGGTATCAAAGGTATATTTTTTTCAAAGTGTGTACTTTAACTATCAATGATTTATCCGTTTAAAGTGCTGTTGCATCGTAGATATTCGACTTAAAAGTAGAACTACCACTGGCTTCATTATTGTTTATACTAATCACTCTAGACTGTGTGCCTTCAATAAAAGTTGTAATTA